CATGTAGTAAAGAGTTCCCCCTGGTGATCGTCCCCCTCTGCCCTGAACTGCCTGGGTGGCTTTGCCAGGAGCTGTTACATAGCTCCAGAGATGGCTGCATTTCACCTAGCCAAGCGCCGCTTTTTGATTGTATGTGTACAGTGCAAATGAGGCCTGGCCTATAGGTGATGTACAACTGAAACATAAGAGGAGCTGGCTACCTTGTCAGGAGAGGAAAACTGGCACCCCCAAGAAACCCTGGTATAAACACCGCCAGGCTGATGGAAGTATTTTTCCAACAACCTAGCAACCGCTTGGGTGGGTGAGGGGATTTCTTACAGTGATGAAAATCCCTTCCATTGCTGTGACAAGGGACAGCACAGCGGTGGTGCGGCCACTGTACCACGTGTAGTATAGACGCACGGTGGGTTGTACTCAGTTTAGACAACTGTACACAAATGGGACCAGCGTGCTGGCAAAGTGCTGTGGGATTCATTACGGTCCAAAGTGACCTTTCTGGCCAAGGCAAAACTCCCACTGCGGTGAACGGGCGTGTGGGGGGCGGGCCCACGGAGTTTTAAGAGGGAGCGTCACAAGTTTATGAATGGCACGAGGGGGGTTGCCTGGGAGATAGCTGTGGTCTGCACTTCTGATGCCCTTTCCAGTCCTGTGTTCCTAAAAATAAGACGCCGGCTTATTTCTGGGGAAAATGCATCAGATCCTCAACACATAACCACGTGGGATGGGGGGAGGAGGGCAATAAGCTGCAGCCACAGCTCAAGGGTGCTGTGTTCGAGCGGAAAAAGAGTAACATTACAGCTGCATTCCCCATGCTCTGACTCCTTTCCGGGGTAAAGTAAGGTAGTGATCACAGGCACAGTCCAAAGGCACGTGAAATGTTTGGCAGAAAGGGAAGGTGGATAAATCCGATCTGGATCCACTTGACTGAGTTATTTGCTCTGCTTATTGAGGTTTAAAGTGCCTACCGCAGGCTCTTCCGCCTCCAGGGATGCATACTGACAGTTAAAAAGTTAACTGGTTAAAGGCTATGTGTTACTGGTTAACCTGGAAGCAGCCCCGCACATCGTGCCATGGGCAGGGGGCTGCTCCGGGTGGGCCGGACAGGACTTGCCGTGCTGTGTCGTGGCTGGGGGGCTGCTCTGGCAGGCCGGGCCGGGCTGGGCCTAGTTAACTGGTTACCAGGTAAGCATGCCAGTAAGGCTGATGCTTACCAGCTAACCGGTTAACTCTTTACATCCCTATCTTCCCCTGTTCTTATTACAGAACCAAACCAGCAGCACCTTCCCCCGCCTCGTCATACAGCACACAGGCAGTCAAACAATTAAAAGCCTTCACATTCCTATGGGTAAGCCCAGCCCCACCTCTCTCAGCCCTGCTGCTCACACGCAAGGGCTATGCTGCATGCCACGGAGGTCAGCACGGTTGGGCTATTTCAGACCAGTGTGTAAAATGACTTATATCCCTGAGACTATCCAGCCTCCGTTGCTCTGCTATGGCAGGAGAGTGCCAGCTCTGGTCCCTCGGCTGGGGCAGCATGGCACGGGCAGGAAGACATCTCTTTAAGCAGGAGGGCCTCAGGCTCTTTTAGGACCTGTAGAGGTCAAATAGCAACACCTTAAATTCCATCTGGAGGCCAACAGGGTTCCAGAGAGTCATTGGGCCAGTCCCCATGGGTCTGGCCACAGGAGGGGAGCCTAAATTAAGACAAGATGTCATGACTGGGTGTAACAGACTTGGAAGGAATGGGAAGGGGAGGCCCAGCTCTTCTGCGGCCCTGCTGGGTGATCTTGGGCAAGACCCGTGCCTCATTTTTCCCATCTGTAAAATGGGCACAATGACACTGACGCCCGTTGCAAGGCGCTTTGAGATCAACCGATGAAAAGTGCTGCATAAGAGCTAGGTATTATTATGAGGGTAACAAGGACAGGAACAACTGGTACATAACCTCTATGCACGGTTAGCAGGTTGTAGGTCAGAAGAATTATTTCATAACAAAGAAATATTCAAATGCTTAGTAACCTTCAGTCCCCACCAGCCTTGGCAGTGCAGTTCAGTGGTCAGAGCACTGATCTGGGCTTCAGGAGAGTAATATTCAGTATCCCACTCACCAGATGGATAGTCTTGGGCAAGATACTTCTTTTGGGTAGGCCTCAGATTCCCCTGACATACGCCAGCTGCCTTGTCTATTTAAATTGTAAACTCATCAGAGCAGGGAGGAGGAGTATGTCTTTTGAGGTGTATGTACAGTGGGGCCAGTAGGCACTACTGTCATTATCATTAAGGTGCCAATTTTAGAATTGTCAGTGACATATGGACGGGACCTTGAGAGGTCACTAAGTCCAGCCCCTGCACTGTGGCAGGATCAAGTAAACCTAGACCATCCCTGACATCTGTTTGTCCAGCCTGTTCTTAAACATCTCCAGGAATGGAGATCCTACAACCTTTCTTAGAAGTCTTTCCAGAGCTTAACTACCTTTGTGCCAGGTCTATACTAGACCCAGGTCAGCTTAATGTGCCCACCTCCAATTACATAAATAACATAGCTGGAGTCAATGTGCTTTAAGCTGAGCGTGGCACCATCTTCACAGCGAGAAGCCAACAGGAGTAAACACTCCGGTTAGCTTTCCTTACTCCTCACAACTGCGAGGACTACAGGCGTCCTCAACATTTGATTTAGTGGGTCTTTACTAGACTCACTAAATCAAATGCCAGAAGATTGATCTTCCAGCAAGTAAGTACAGACATGGCCTTAGAAAGTTTTTCTTAATATTGAACCTACATTTCCGTTATGGTCGATGAAGTCCATTACTTCATGTCCTACCTTCTCTGGCCGTGGAGAAAGATTCATTCCTATTCTCTTTACAACAGTCCCTGATGTATCTAAAGACTGTTCCCAGGTCCTACCTCAGTCTGTTCTCAAGGCTAAAGGCCCAGGTTTTTAACCTTTCCTTGGAGTCAGGTCTTCTAAACCTTTTATCATTTTTCTTGCTCTCTTCTGGGCTCTCTCTAGTTTATCCACATCTTTCCTGAAGTGTGGCACTCAGAACTGGACACACTAACTGAGGCCTCACCAGTGCCAGTTGCCTCCTGTGTCTTACATACAGTAGTCCTAAAAAAAACGAGTGGTCCTGCAACACCTTAGGGACTAAATAAAATATATAGAACCATGAGCTTTTGTGGGCAAAACCCACTTCCTCAGATGAATTGGAATGGAAATAATAGAAACCGAGCGATCTCTATACCAGCAGAAGCAGCAATTGACAGGTGGTAGTTCTGCTGTTGATTAGATAGATATAGATACAATCTTTTGGTTTCTGTTATTTAAAAACAATTCGTTTTTAAAGTTACAGGCTAACATGGCTGCCCTTCTGAGATGCAATAGTTCTGTTACTACACTCCATATCATTAGCTTTTTCCCCAGCAGCATCACATTTTGTTGGCTCTCATTCAATCTATGGTCTACTATAAGTCCCTGCCCCTTAGCAGTACTACCACCTACCTACGCATTTCTTCCCCCTTCTGCCATCATGCATTTGATTTTTCCTTCCTATGTGATTTTGGTGCACAGGTCATGTTTTCAGGGTAAGCATGAACTTTAATAAAATCCGCAGCCCTGTTCTAAGCATTGCAAGCTAGCACCTGGGTCACAACACCACTTTGGCCTTCCATAGCCGGAGATGGATAGGCAGACATGCTAAATCGGAGTGGTGCTGCCATTTATTACACTGGGTCTGATGCTCGGAGTAAGGAGCCAGGCCAAGGGGTGAAGGACATGAGTGGCTGCTGGGGTAGGCTCGCTCTTTGCCCCCCTACACACACACCTGTTGTGACCTTTCCCGCCACCCGCATCCTTCTGCCACAAAGTGGACTAAAAATGTGCATGACCCAAATCACAGGCCTGAATGCTCACAGAACACACGGAGTCCAACAGTCAAACAAACCTGCAACAGGCCACCCCGGTTTTAATCAGCACCACCCGCGAGCGAGGCCGTGTCTCTCAGAGCGGAGATATCAAGCGCTCCCAGAAATGGGGCCATGCCAAGGCCAGCTGCGTGAAATTATTTTTCATTTACGTCTCTTGGCTTCTGTGCGGTCCGGGTTGGCTTCCACTGCGCAGCTAGCGCTGTCGCTCTGAGCACCAGTCTGTTCTCTTAGTGGAACTGTGGGGTTTAACCCCTCCCCACACACACACACAAACCCTTCTGTATCTTTCTTTCCTGGCCCAGCGCTTATCCAGCAGGCTGTGCCCTGAGCCTCCTGCCTGGCTTCTCAGGAGATGGCTGTGAGTGGCAGAAATTGGTCAATGCTTCATGCAGACTGTGCTCCCCGGGCAGCTGTGACAAGGGCTTCTTCCTTGCAGCGCTAAAGCTCCTCTTCCTTTATTTCCTCCTTGCAACCTCTCCCCCCTTTCCTCCCCCCTCCTCCTGGCAACCTCTCCCCCACCCTTGCAGGCTTGGGGGGCAAGAAGGGGCTAGAAAGCAGCGTTAGGTACCGTCAGCCGCCTGCCAGGGTTGTGTCTCTCCCTCGCCACAGCTGAACTCCCAGCTGATCAGCCCCCCCCCCACCCCTTTCAGATCCTCCCTGCTCCCCCAGGCCCTTGCCGCGTGCAGAAGCACGTGCCTTGGCTTTCTGGTGGCTGGTTAAGGAGGACTGATGGGGAGAAGGGGGGTGCAGCCCTCAGGGCGCTGGGAGCTTTTGCAAGATCCCCCTCCCTGCCAAATGAGTTCCCCTGCTGGGCTCC